TTCCCAATTGGGAGAATTCACCCCATCCTGTATCATAGCCACTAGTGGAAGAGAAGCACAGTAACAACCTGGGCTTGCAACTGGCAACTTAAGTCCAAGGGGTTGGTGGGGGGTGGAGCGGGTAGTCTTATAGGACTAAACACTTAACCTGTGGAATCTAATGCTATCTCCCGCTAGGTAGTATCAAAATTGAGCTGAACGCTTGGACACCCTACAGGTGTCGAAGAATTGCTTAGTATTGTGTGACCCACCCCCCACCCCCCCTCCCACCACACACATGCACACATGCACACACACACGCACACACACACACACACACACAGATGTTGGAATGGGATTCAGGAACCCTTTTTAGTAGGATAATAGCACTGTGGCTATTTTTATTAAAAGTGCTTATTTTTACATTTATATATTGAACTATTTACGGATAAAATGACACAGTGAGATGTGCTTAAAATAAACCAGCAGAGAGCCAAAATGTGAGGGAATAGAGGTATAAACGACAATTGGAGGGCATGAGCTTATTACTGTGGAAGTTGATCGATGTGAGCTCATTATACCACTTGCTCTACTTTTGCATTTTTGATATTTTCATAGTAAGTCTTAAAAAGTTATTTTATTTTATTTCTTTTTTTTTGACAAATGCCATGCGCCGTTCACACTGAAAAACAATCATGCTTTGTTTTTAGCAAGTACTGCTCTGAGAACATTTCTGCTTCTGGGACTCCCCTTTCCTCCTCCTCAAAGTGAAGAGGAATTTGCACTCGAAACGCTAATCAGCTCTTTGTTTTGCTTCTGCATATATGCTTGCAGCATAGGCCGTACTCAAAAGTTCCTAAAAACTCATCCTCCCTTTGGCTTGCTCTGTCTAAGTAACAAATGTAACTGCCTGTACCCCCTAGCAATTCCCTCGCTTTGTAACTCTTTGGAACTACCTGAAACCATAGCAACTCCTGCACTTAGTAACAGTCTGAGGACAAATTAACCAATCAGCCCATGCCAAATAAGTTCTATATAAGAAATATTGCAACTGAGTTCCCTGCCCAGATCTTCAGAACACTAGCTCTTCTGGGACCACTGGCATAATAAATCTGAGTTCAACTCTCAGAATGGTGCTTGGTTTCTCACCTGTCCTGTTTCACATTTCTGCAACAAAAGGAGCTGTCACATTCCTGTGAAGCCAGACTATAAGCTGGACTCCCGGCCTATGGGACAAGCTCTTCTTGGTGAATGTGTTCACATTGGGCCTCACTTCTGTGTATCTTAGCAACTCCAATTTTCCCAGGAGCCCTAGGCTAAGTGAACATCCAAAGACTACCATATATTGCACCAAGGTGGGCTGAAGTCTGAAAAAGGGATCCTGAAGGCTCAACTAAGTGATCTGACCTCAGGACTCTGTGGAAACACAAAGAGATTCTGCAGAGAATGTCACACCATGACAGCTACTCAGACACTTCCCAGGAGTGCATCGATTAGTGTGGAACCTGGTGGCACAGGGGAAAGATATAAGGTGTGGAGCCAAATCAATATACATTTGTTCTCAGCAATTCCACCCTCTAGCTGTGACAATCTGTACTCACTTCAGTCTCAGTTTCATCTTTACATTTTTTTATATAAACAAACCTATTTTATAATACTTGAAAGGCACTCAGCCCATGCATGGCACATAAGCACTCATTAAATATTAGCTATTATTACAAAAATCAGTAATTATTACAAAATTAGTAATCCACATAGAATGCAATTATCAAATATCATCGGACTTCATAGACCCCTCAAGTCATTACCAATTCCTCACTCCCACTCCTCAATCTGCTCAACTGTCAATCACTGCACAATGACTACCCCTGGAACCCTTACACATGCCTCAGAATCACTGGTTCCCACATCCTGCTGCCCACAGGCCCCAAATCACTCATTCTACACTCCCTGACCAGAGCCTGCAAAACCTCTACCCTGATGGTCCTGGCTCTCCACCAATCAATCCCACGTCCTATAAAGGAAAAACTCCTGTGTGTGTTTTCTTCCTCGACTCTCAATACTTCTGATTACTAGTGTATATGTAATGTGTGTGGCGGGGGGACCAACACCAAGCAATTCTACAACAACAGCTGGTATATATCTTACAATTTAACTCAATTCTGACAACTCCTACTTGGACTTGGCATCAGATCACACAGGTTAAAGACTCAGTACCACAAGACTATCTCCACCACAACTTCAGCTGTCAATAGCAAGTCCAGATTGTTAACTGTACTTCTGACCAAATGGCTATAAATCAGAGGTTCCCGGAAACCCCCTCCTCAGATTCCATTTATTTGCTAGAGGAGCTCACAGAATTCAGGAAAACACTTAATTTACTATATTACCAATTTATTATAAAATAACTCAGGAACAGCCAGATGGAAGAGATGCATAATACAAGGTATGTAGGAGAGATTGTACCACTCCCCCAGCCTCTCTGAGCATTCAATCTAAAAGCTCTCCAAACTCCATCTTTTGGGGTTTTATGGAAGCTTCATTATATACAGATGATTGATTATATAACTGGCCATTAGTGATTGATTCAACCTCTAGTCGGGGGCGGGGTTCACTAATCCATGGTTGGTTCCCCTGGCAATGAGTACCCACCCAGTTGTTATCTGGGGCTTTCCAAAAATTACTTCATTAACATAAAACTCAGGTGTGATTGAAAGAAACTTATTATGAATAACAAAAAAATAAAACACCCATTTTCACCTCTGGAGCTATTTCAGGAACCAAAAACAAAAGATGCCCCTATAGATCCTACCACTTAGGAAATTACAAAGATTTTAGGAGCTATATGCTGGAAACCATGTATAAAGACCTAAGTATATATTTCTTATTATATCACAATATCACATGCCCCATTACTGGCCTCCACACTTTTATCACTACCCATCATGCATCTCCATCTGTGATCCTAAGAGTACCAATTCCAGACACACCTGAACCTGCAATGAGCCCTGAGAAAACATCCAAGTACACATCCCACCAATCCAACCACTAGGCTTGTACCATTAGTCTTTCCCACATACTTACACACACACACACACACACACACACACACACAGGAAAGAATCCACTCAAAGAACAAATCTAGAAATATTGTTGACTTTTAAAGATAAATTTTAAAATCTAAACAATATTACATCTAAGGCACATGGGAAAGAACAGATTTACAGAGAAAGAATTAAGAAAATCAAGATGTCTCATCTGCTGTAATCAAAGCTAAATGATATCAGAAACAGCATCTAAAAAAAACACTTCTCTGTTAAGGTCAAAGACATTTTCAGAAATAAAAGCACTGGCAGAGTACCTCTATCTTTACTTAAGGAAAATACCCCAAAAATTATTCCAAATAAATGTAGAATGAATCACATGAAAAAAATCTCAAAAAGAAAAATACTGCTTAGCAATATTTGCAAGAGATATATAATTATAAAAAAAGATAATGACGATAATGTAATATGGAGGTCATTAAAGGGAAAATTAATAATATCCTATGATAAAATATTTCTAATTATCTCAGGAAAAAATGGAGGTTATAATGGTGTGTAGATGGAAACAATGAGCAGAAATTTCATCAATCCAATGTAAGTACAAAAAAGAAAAGGAAAAGCAGAAAATAATGTTAAAATAAATAGTAAACATTAAAATGGGAGGCATAAAATCAAGTAAATTATTACTACACTAAAGACATAAAATTATCCTACTGACAGAAACTATAGCATAGATCTATCATCTAAATTCAATAAAAGTGGGGATGGTAATGTAAATATCAAATTGAAATTCAGGTTAAAGAGGTTTTTGTTGAAAAGAGGTAGCCTATAATAATACTATCCAATAAAAGAAGAGATAATACAAAATGCACTAACCATTAGATGTATGTATGTCTCACTCCAAGCACACAAATCAAACTAGCAAAAAAACACGTTAACTACAAAGTGAACTATTAGTGAGAGACTATTATTATATCTCTTTCAGAATATGATTCAAACAGACCAAAAATAGGAAAGAAAAAGATTCGAAAAGTACAAACAGGCTATACTTAATATACATGAAGAGAACTTTGCACTATACAAACAAAAAATATACCCTTTCTCTTATAACCACTGAACAAGTTCCTTAAGCAATTTGCCTTCTTGATAAACTTTTCAAAGTTGACACTTTGAGGCTACATTTTATGACAATAAAATAAAATTAAACAATTAAGCATGCCATAATAATTTAAAAGTAAACTCTCCTAAACAACTCAGAATCAAAGTGGAACACAAAATTGAAGTTATACATTTCATAGATAAAGATGTATTTAGAAAAACTTTACACCTCTAAACGTATCGAGTATAAAACTTGGGAAATAAGGGAAGGAATGACAATTTAAATCAAAGAGAAAAAAAAGAGAAAATATCTAAATATAGAAACTAAAACTAATATTAAGAGTAGGGAGTAGAAACACAACCAGTACTTCAAAATGGTGAATAAAATAAATCTTGAGATGCCTAATAAAAAAGAAAAATGATACATAAATATTATATTATGAATGACAAAGTACCAATCTAGATATAAAAGGGAACGAAATATAGTAAATGAAAAAGTATATGTAACCCCAATGGCAATATATTTTTTAAATCTCTCGCGAAACGTACCATGAAAATAAATCAGAAATAGAAACAAGCTTGTACGTATAAGAGAGGAAATAATAATAAAAAAATCTAGCATCACTCACTCCTGGGATCCCTCATTACTCAACCCCACGGTTATCCTCCACAGGAACCCCACAGACTCCATCACTCCACACACAGATTCACCATCAAAATTCGCACAGACCCCAGCTTTCCGCCGGGATCCACCATCAAGACCACACTAACCCCCATTATTCCATCTACTGATCGCCCCCATCACTGACCAGCTTGCTCATCAGGGACAAAGATGTTTCTTCACTCAGCCCCAGATACTCCTATTATTCCTGCACTTACCTGCTCCTCACCCATGATCTCATAGGACAGTGGTATTTGCCTCAGGCAGTATCTGTAATTACAAGTACTAAAACCGGACCGAGGTCTCTCTTTCTTGATCCCTCCCAGTCCCTGCGGGATTCCTTTTCTTGCAACCGTTGTGAGCGCATGCTCAGTAGCGGCTCCTTAAATGAACATTGCCAGCACTCAACATGGCGCTCTGCTAAATTCCGCCCCCAACTCCCCTTCACCGCCAAATGGCTAGGACATGGCGCCAATATGGCGACGCCCTTGTAGTCACGCAGGCTGCGGGTGGCCATGTTGAAGTGATGTTGAGACTTTGTAGCTGAGCGTAGTCAGGAGGCAAGGTGGAGCAGAGGTATGTACTCTGAGACTAAGCCAAGAAACAACTAGAGCCCATCTCCGCAAGCCTCACTCAGGCCTTTCCCTGTGGAGCCTGTGGATTCAAAGTACCATCAACCAATAAGATCTAATTAGCAGTTGTAAAACACTCCACTCTGAAACAGAACATACATTCTATTCAAGCACCTATGGAGCATTTACCAAGTTATAACATGATCTGGGACATAAAACATAACTCATCAAACTTAATAGAACTAAAATCATACAGACTATATTCTCTGAACACAATAGCATCAAACTAGAAATCAGTACTACAAAGACAAATTAACACTTGGAAATTAACACATTCTAAACAATCCATGAGTGGAAGGGGAAGTTTCGAGTATATTCTTAAAATGCATTCGAATGAATGAAAACAAAAGCACAGATATCAAAATGTGAGTTGCAGCTAAAGCAGTGATGAGAGGAAATTTTTTAAGACTAAAGGTTTACAGTAGAAAGGAAGAAAACTCTCAAATCAATAATGTAAGATCTCACCTCAATAAAATAGAAAAAGAGCAAAAAATAAACAACCTAAAGCAAGAAGAAAAAAAATTATAAAGATAAGAACAAAAAACAATTTTAATTGAAAAAGTAAAACAAAACAAAACAAGAAGCTTGTTCAATGGAAAGATAAATAAAATTGACAAGTCTCTATAGGAGACATAAATAAGCAATATCAGGAATGAAAAAGGAGATACCACTACAGACTGTGCAGATATCAAAAAAATAAAAATAACAAAAGCAACTCTACACACATAAATTTAAAACCTTAGATAAAATGCACCAATTCTTCAAAAAACACAAACTCCAACAATTTTCACATTATATAGACTTGTTCAGTAGCCTTGAAATTAAAGTCAAAATTTAAAACAACTAAAAATTAAATCTTCAAGCCCAGATGTCTTCAATGGAAAATTGCAATAGCATTTAAAAATTAAATTCTACACAATCTCTTCCAGAATAAACAATAGAAATAGGCCAGTATTACCTGAATACCAAAACCACAGTACCAAATAAAATATATAAATTAATAACCCTCATTCATATAAATGGAAAAAAATTTTAACTAAATATTAGCAGAATTTAAAAAGTTAAAAAATAAAGTTTTTTAAATAATATTTTTTATTTTTCAATTATTTGGCATACAATATTATATTAGTTTCAGATGTACAACATAGTGATGAGACATCTATATAACTCACTAAGTGATCACCCCAATAAAGCTAGTACCTATCTGACCCCATACATAGTTGTTATGGTATTATTGACTATATTCCTTATTCTATCCTTTATATTTCCATGACTATTTCACAACTACATTTTGTACCTTCCCCCATTTTCTTCAACCCCCCCACTCTCATCTGGTAACCCTCAAAATGTTCTTTGTATCTATGAGTTTGTTTGTTTGTTTTTTAACTTTGTACTTTAGAGTCCATATGTACATGAAATCATATGGAATTTGTCTTTCTCTGTAGACTTACTCTACTCAGCACACTACCCTCTAGGTCCACCATGAAATATCTTTTTCCATTGCTTTACTTTTAGTCTGAAATAAGTCTTTTGTAGGCAGCATATGTAAGAGTCTTGTTTTCTTATCCATTCAGCCAACCTATCTTTTGATTGGAGCATTTAATTATTTTTCATTTGAAGTACTTATTGATAGATATGTAGTTATTACCATTCTTTATTCATATGTTTTGATACATATTTTTTCTTTTTAAGGAAGTTTCTCTAACATTTCTTGTAATATTGGCTTGGTGATGATGAATTTTTTAGCTTTTTTTTTTGTCTCTAAAGCTCTTTTTTTGTCCTTTGATTCTAAATTATAGCTTTTCTAAGTACAGTAATCATGGTTGTAGGTCCTGGCTTTTCATCACTTTCAATATTTTGTGTCAAGCCCTTCTGACTTGCAAAGTTTCTATTGAGAAATCAGCTGACGGTCTTATGGGAGCTCCCTTGTAGATAACTAATTGCTTTTCTCATGCTACTTTTAAGATTTTTTTTTTTTTTGTCTTTAACCTTTGGCATTTTAATTATGATGTGCCTTTGTATAGCCCGCGTTGGGTTCATCTTTTTTGGGATTCTTTACACTTCGTGGGCTTGTATGTCTATTTCCTTCACCAGGTTAAACAACTTTTCTCATTCTTTCTTTCTTTTTTTTTTATTTTATTTTTTAATTTATTATGGTGACATCGCTTAACAAAACCCAATGGTTCAAGTGTACAATTCAACAGTAAGTTATACATATATATATTATATATACATTTAACATATTTTTTTCCTTGTGTGTTCACTCTCCATAGTTGGATTTCTGTCACCACATATTTGAAAATTTTACCCCAACTACTTCTCCCCTCTTCACTACCCTCTGGTAACCACTAGTTTACTGTCAATGTCCATGAGTCTTTGTTTGTTTTGTCACGTCTCTTTGTTGCTTTTAAATTTATATCCGACATATAAGTAATGTCATGTAGTTTGCAACTTTTTCTGTCTGGCATTATGCGCTTAGCATAATTATCTCAAGATCCACCTATGTTGTCACAAATGGCAGTATATCATCTCTTCTTATAGCTGAGAAATATTCCATTGTATATATGTACCACATCTTCTTTATCAAGTCATCTATTTTAGGATACTCTAGATGCTTCCTTATCCCGGACACCGTAAATAATGCTGCTATGAACAACAGTGTGTGTATATCTTTTTGGATAAATGTTTTAATGTCTCTGTGGTAAATACCCAGTAGAGGGATTGCTAAATCATATGGTAGATCAATTCTTAGTTTTTTGAGGAACCTCCATACTGTTTTCCATAGTGGCTATATCAATTTGCAGTCCCACCAGTAGTGCATGACGGTTCTTTTTTTTCCTCATCCTCTCCAACCCTTGTTATTACTTGTCCTGTTGATAAAGCTATTCTAACAGGTGTGAGATGGTATCTCATTGTGGTTTTGATTTGCTTTTCCTAATAGCTAGCGATAATAAGCGTCTGTACGTATGTTTGTTGGCCATTTGTATGTCTTCTTGGAAGAAGTTTCTGTTCAGATCCTCTGCCCATTTTTTAATTGGATTGCTTGGGGGTATTTTTGTTTGTTAATGAGTTGAGTTCTTTGTATATTTTGGATATTAGGCTCTTATTGGAGGCATTGTTTGCAAATATATTTTCCCATTCAGATAATTGCCTCTTTGCCTTGTTGATGGTTTCTATTGGTGTGCAGAAGCATTTTAGTTTGATATAGTCCCATTCATTTATTTTTGCTTTTATGTCCCAGGACTTTGAAGTCAAATTCATAAAATCCTTTAAGTCCAAGGTCCATGAGTTTAGTTCTTATGTTTTCTTCTATGCGATCTATTGTTTCAGGTCTTATAGTCAGGTCTTTAATGCATTTTGAGTTAATTTTGGTGTGTAGTGATAGACAACAGTCTAGTTTCATTCTTTTGCAGGTGACTTTCCAGTTTTCCCAGCACCATTTACTGAAGAGGCTTTCCTTCCTCCACTGTATGTTTTTGGTTCCTTTGTCAAAAATTATTTCTCTATATAAACATGAGTTTACTTCTGGACTATCAATTCTGTTCCACTGATCTGTGTGTCTGTTTTTCTTCCAATACCATGCCATTTTGATTATTGTTGCTTTGTAGTATAATTTGAAGTCTGGCAGAGTGATACTTCCAGCTTTGTTCTTTTTTCTCAGGATGGCTTTGGCGATTCAGGGTCTTTTGTGTTTCCATACAAATCTGATGATTTTTTGTTTTATTCCTTTAAAGAGTGCTGAATGGATTTTGATGGGATTCCATTAAATCTGAATAATGATTTAGGTAATAAGTTCACTTTAATTATGTTGATTCTTCCAATTCAAGAACATGGAATATCATTCCAATTCTTTGTGTTTTCTTCAATTTTTTTTAATAGGTTTTTATATTTTTCATTATATAGGTCTTTCACATGTTTCATTAGGTTTATTCCTAGGTATTTTGTTGTTGCTGTTGCAATTGCAAAAGGAATTATATTTTCCATTTCTTTTCCTGTCGATTCATTATTAGAGTATGAACACTAAGGATTTTTTAAAATTTATTTATTTAAATTAGTTTCAAGTCTACAGTACATTGGTTAGACATTTATATAGTTCATAAAACGATCCCCCCATTTGCTCCCTCCCTCCCTTGGCCCTCCACCCAGCCACCACATTAAAGCCAATAGCACTCCCCACGTCATGCTCCCCATCCCCGTGACCAACTATCAACCACTAATTTGTATGTCGTTAACCTTTCACCACATTCTCCCAGCCCCCTAACACTGTCCCCCAACACTAAGGATATTTGAACATTGATTTTATATGCTGAAACTTTACTGTATTTGCTTATTGTTTCTAGTAGTGTCCTTGTAAACTTTTTGGGGTTTTCTATGTAGAAAAACATGTTATGAACAAATAGTGACAGTTTGACTTCTTCGTATCCTATTTGGGTGAATGTTATATCTTTCTCTTGCCTGATTGCACTCACTAGAACCTCCAATGTTATCTAGAATAACAGGTGATAGATAGTAAACAGTCTTATCTTCATCCTGATCTTAGAGGAAAGATTTTTAGTTTTTCTCTATTAAGTATAATGTTGGTTGAGGGTTTATCTTATATGGCCTTTATTATGTTGAGGTGATTTTCTTTTATACCTATTTTATTAAGTCTTTTGATCTTAAATGGATGCTGTATCTTTTCAAAGGCTTTTTCTGCATCTATTGATATGACCATATGATTCTTATTCTTTATTTTGTTTATGTGGTGTATCACATTAATTGATTTGCA